TGTATTGAATGCTTACTGTGTACTAACCACTATTCTAATCATTGAGAATAAGATGGTAAATGATATATAATTCCTGCCCTCAAAAAACATTGAAGTAGTAATGACCGACAAGTCAACTGATGATTAAACTTGAGTGTACCCTGCTATCATCTGTGCAATCCAAAGCTCTTCAGGAAGTGCTTCCTCAATACTCAAATCATGAATAAATTCCTAGAGGAAGGGAATTATCAATTAAGAGAAGAACCTTGGACTTGGGAGTCATAGAAGCATCGATAGGAATCTTGGCTAACCAAATATTTAATCTTAGAATTCTATAAGCTTTCTGATCTTTGAGAAGTTAGGTGGTAACCCATTTATGAGGGCATTAAAAAGAGCACATGAGATAATTATTATGAATTCATTCATTCACTAAATCCTTATGGAATCCTTAAATGTACCAAGCACAGCAGTAAAGGAAGTATCTGTCTTTAATTCTAATATAAATGAAAGACAATAAACAAATAAGCAAATAGCTGTATAATATTATGTTAGGCAACTTAAAATTTAAAAAATAGTGATGAAAAATCATTAAAAATAGTATGTTGTGCTTAGGAAAACCTCAATGATAATGTGACATATAAACAGAGATATGATTATCCCTATTTACATAAGAGATAGTAGAACAAGAGATCATAATCATTGACGATAAGTTCAAAAACCCTGAGTGATAACATACAGTCTGTTAAAGGAATGATAAAGATATCAGTGTAGCTGGAAATAGCATGTGGAAGAAGAAAAAGTCAGATATTTAGGTAAGAACACATCATGTATGTCATTGCAGCGCAGCTTTTAAATTCTGTTCTTAATTTGATGGGCAACTACTGGTGTGAACTGAACATGGAAGCAACCTTAACTGACTCACAGGTCTCTCTGCTTCTTGCATATAAGAAATGTCTTGGAATGGGAAGCTAAGCAAAATAAGATTAGTCAGACAGTTTTGTTCTTTAGCTAAATGCCAGGTGATAGGAGGCAGACAGCTCAAAGTAGGTTTAAGATGTTACTAATAAGATAAGCTGGTATGTTAGATGCAATACGTAACAAAGTGATATGAGAGTGAATGTTAAACAACCAACTCTCTGAAAATGAAAATGTCCTGATTTGTAGAATTTGCTAGTTCTTTTGGTGTCTATACTCCTAATATGGCTGATGTCAAGCAATCAACGAGATATCACTGAACAAAGTGTGAAAAGAGATGTGCACAGTACACTTTCAGGAGCCAGTGCCAACCAGCTCAGTAGACCAGTTGAGTTAGGTGGCCTCAAAGACAGGTCCCAGTGATCCCCCCCACTTGGTATCCATGCCCCTCCACCTGAACATGATGAAATGTAGCAAAAGTGAAAGGATGCCACTTTTAGATTTGATGACCAAAAGAGTGTGGCCCCTATCTGAGAACTCACATTTTGCTGTGTCCTGGCTCTCTTGACATGCTTCCTATCTTCTTCACCTCTTGGATCACTCACACTGAGGAAAAGAAATGGCCATGTCATCAGTGGCCACATGGAGAGGCCCAAATGACAAGAATCTGAGACCTCATTCAATAGTCTGTGAAGAATAGATACCTGCCAAGAACTACATGAATGAGCCTGGAAACATATCCCTCAGTCCTCTTAGAGTCTGAAAATAACTGAAATCCTGGACAGTTGTTTGATTCAGACCTCATGAGAGTCCTTGAGCTAGGAGTCCACAATTAGGTTGTGTACTGATGTCTGACCCACAGAAATTGTGAGACAATAAATACACATTTATTGTTTTAAATTATTAAATTTGAGGTGATTTTCTATGCAGTAATATACATTGTAAAAGAAAGACAGGTGAAGATAACTCTAAGTCTCTGTGTCTGAACATGTGGGTAAATACTGCTGTCATTTAGTGAGTCAGGAAAAATCAGGTTTGTCATAGAAATCAAATGTTTGGTAAGGACCGTGACATACTTGAGACATCAAGTAAAAATACCATAAGAAATGTCATATATAGTTGTCTGATGAAACTGAAGTTCATGGAAGGCATTTTGGATAAAGATAAAATTTAGGGGCAATCTACAGGCCATTAATTCTGTTCAGTTGGTGAAAGCAGATTGTAAGGAGAGAACTTAAGAGGACAAGGCAGTGAGGAGGCGGGAAACACGAGGAATGTGTGATGCATCAGCAAAAAGAAGGAACTATTTGAAGAAAGTGTGATTAGCTGGGTCAAAGACCGATACTAAGCTAAAATGAGCACTGAGGATTCACCACTGGATGAGCCATGGTTACAGTGTTACTGACTCTGCCCAGAGTGTGCTCAGGGTAAGAGTAAAAACAAAAATCCAAGTAGAAATTGGAGATGAGCAAATGAAAGTAACAAATATTGACTTATTTTTCAGATAATCCTGGAGTAAAGATATAAGCAGAGAAATAGAACAACAGTGATAGAGACCAGGCATCTGCTTTAATGAAAGAAAGAACAAACAGTTGTGATCAGTGTAGGGCAAGATTTACCTAAGTGAATGAAGAAGTTATTTTCTGATTACTTTCCTTTTTATAGTGAAATAAGAAATGAGATTAGTAGCAGAAAAAGAGGAAGGGTAATGGGTAGAGGAAGTTTGAAAAGAAATTTATCAGGTTTATTGGGCAGTCCAAGAGCACACTTAAGTTATCCCACCAACTATTTGCATGAGAATAGTCAGCATTTTTCGATTTTATTTCAGTTTTGCCCGATATGGTTGGCTGCCCTGATGAAGGCTTATAGAAGATAGAGAGTGGATTTAATAAAAGTTGTTTCTCTGGGAGAATACAATAAAAAGAAAGGTTAATAGGGTGTAGGGCTCGAGAATTATTTAGAAGCCTTGGCAAGGAGTACCCTACTTTCTGGTCCCTTAGAAAAGATTTCCAAGAGAAAATGAATAACTTCTTTCTTGTTCAATAGTTTCAGTAAGCTAGACTCACTTTAGAGTGAGAGAGTGAAAAGGGTAAAGAAACAGGGGTTCTTACTCATGACAGACCCCTAAGCTCTAGAAGACAAATTAGGAAGTTTAGAGTGAGCCAAAGTAGACCCATTTAAGGGGCAACAATCCCATGCAGATGATGGAGCAACATGGATTGATTGTCTTTTCTGAGATCATGGTGATGAAGGGCATGAGAAGATCAATCCTGATTGTGTGTGTGTGTGTGTGTGTGTGTGTGTGTGTGTATACACCCATGTGCATGTCACTGTACATGAGAGTTTGTGCACATGTGTGTGGTGGAATGGGTAAGGGTGTTGTCTCTGGAAGATCAGCCACAGTAGCTGAAAAGGAGAAAGAGTTTTCAGCTAAGTTTAGCCTTCTGCTAGGAACTATTTTTCGAGATAAGTGGTAGGGAGATGGGATCCCACAGATAAATGGAGGAGAGTTCTGTTGACCAGAGTTCTGTTGACTTGGTGGCCACTTAGGGACACAATATAATAAAGTCCCTGTATAGTAAAATGAGTATCACAAAAATAAGCCAAATATGATTTGTATGGTGGCTTACACTAATTTTTAAAAGTGTCTTTCTTAATTCCTGATATGGGTGTAGGACAAAGAGATCTCCCTCTGCCTTCTATTTTAACTTGAATGATAAAGATTTTCAAGCAGTGCCCTCCAGCAAATAGTGTTTATGAAACATTAAAAAGGCATGAGACACCCTCAAAATGACTTTTGCTCACATTTGACTCTCATTGAAGTAAAATAAACAAACAAAAAACATTTTGGAGATCTTACTAAGTTTTATCAGCTCATTAATATTCTTTTAATCTTCAGTTTTCAGCAGTTTAATTTAGTTGATGTTTCTAATTTACATAGAGACAACATTCTTAATTGATTTAATCTTTGCTTCTGTCTTTCTAGCAAGGCTATTTCTATTTATTGATTTTCATTAATATATGCAGACTTTGGATTTCACTTTTACTAGCTAACAGATCTTCTTTTGGGTGGTCTTTCCTTTTGTACTAGATTTAACAACGTTCCCTCTCTATCTGCTACTGTCAACCTAACATGTATCCATTAACTAATTAGTTTATTCAAACTAGTGGAATACTTACTATATCCCAAGCAACATACTGAGTTAATTTGTTAGTGGAAAATAATAATACATAAACAATATCAAGGAAGACAGATCTCATACCGAGTGGTGTGGGAAGGTAACACTGATTGAATATAAGGATTTCTACAAGGTGGGACCAATTTGTGAAAATCACTTCAGGAGAGACACTCATATAGCTCCTGGAAGGCAGTGAAGAGGATGGAATACGGAGAATGAAAGAGGTTGGCAGGGATTATGGACCTGTGGAAACTCAGAGGTTATAATGAGGAGTATGGATGTTATTCAATGTGCAACAGGAATACACAGAACGATTTTAAAAATACACAAAAAGGTTTGATCCTATTTATATGTAACAAAACATTCAGAGTAAAGTTTTATTGTCAATAAACACGTGTTTAACCAGGAACCTTAAAATCAGGTGGATCTAGAAAGGAGCCCCAATGCCAATGCTTGCCCTTCATCATATATGTAGACTATTGGGTCTTCGGACATGTTGTCTGTGGAACAGGCATAATGATTGAAAGGGTTAAATGTTTCTCAAGTACCTTAGGCATGATAAAGGGTAAACTCAATGTCCTCCTCACTTTCTCTCTCTCTCTATTACCTTAAATATTTTCATTGGAAAGGCCCATCTAAAATTCCCAGGTGTTCCAGACATTCTTCCTCCTCTTCTCTTTTTCTTCCCAACGTAGTTGGTCCTTTCTTGACTTCATCACAGATGCCTGACCTTGTGTTTTCTAAGTTTTTGCCGTCAGACATGTGGTGTCATCCACAGTTAATACCAAAACTAAAGGCAAAATATATACCAGACGGCAGCAGTCAGATATGATGTCTGAAGACAATAATGAAACAACCAGATGTTATGTCACAGGGTCACCCTAATTACCTAACAATAGCCCCTATTTCCTTTTGCCCCAATAACAGCTCCTTGCCTCCACCCTTCAAGGCTGATGCAACTCTCCACATCTGGCTCTGTCCTGCTACCAGTAAGTGAACAATTCTTTTCTATTCTTTCCTCTCTGCGTTTGTGAAATCTTTCATAGCCCATAATCAAGGCCACCCTAACATATTGCAGAGATCACCCTAATGATGATGATGCATCCTGTGGGTTGAGTAATTGAGGACACAGCATGATGCTGGCACAAGGTGGGCATTCATGTGAATTTTCTTTAATTTGCTGTAAATTTTATTATTTTATAGTTCAAGTTTTGTAGGGAGCATGTAAATAATGAATGCATACATTTTATTTCATTAAGAGAGAAGAGCAATATATCACATTCTGAGCTCTTTCATGTTTGCTTAGCTATGAATTACTTACAGTAATATTCACTCTGATTAGGTGATCAGTTCAGTTTGGGCAAATTTGTACAGTAATTTAACCACTACCATAATATGATTATAAAATAGTGCCTTTACACCAAAACACTTTCTTAGTGTCTCTTTTTAATCACTCCCCTCAACCTGGTAAAGTGATCTCTGTTTTTGTTTTTTTGTTTTGTTTTGTTTTGTTTTGTTTTGTTTTGTTTTATGACATGGTCACAGCAGCAATGGTGGAAGAGGTGGCTGTGCCATTTGACATCTGTACCAGCAATGTATGAGCATTGTAGCTGCTCCGTGTATTCACCAGCACTTGATATTGTTCTTTCATCTTTTTCTTTTTCTCAATTTTAATAAATTTATTTGGTGAGATCACATTGATCCTTTTAGAATGTAAGCCAAGGTCCAGCCCATGGCATGGTGGTTAAGGTGGCTGTATACCACATGGCTGACACAGTGCAGCTTAAGTATCTGACCTGGTTTGAGATACATGCCTGTCACATGTGCATGCATGCCCAAAATCCACAAAAGAGGAAGAAATAGAGGAGAAGGGACTGTAGCTTGACCATTCCCTATGGGGAGGGGAGGAGGGATTTTTCTCTCTCTCTCTCTCTTCTGGCAAATAAATAAATAAATAGGAAAGATATAAACCAATTCAACTTGTCACCCTACCAACCAAATATAATTACTATTTCAAGTAAATAAGCTAAAATATTCTTCATTTCTACTCATCTTTCATTCATTCAATAAATACATATTCAGCACCTATAGAATTCTTAAGGAGTTCATGTTATAATGATAATAAAATGTGACAAATTTCTGAAAGAGCCGATAGCTTTATGAGAACACAGTAGTTACTTAATTTACCATAAGCTAAGTCTAAAAAGATGAGAAAGAGTTTGCCATTGATATAGGAGGATGAAAGCATTCCATTTAAGTTGCAATATAGAAAGCCCAAAGGTATGAGCCTTTTTTAAGCTAACGTAATTAAAGTAAAAATTGAATAGAACAGGCCCATCTACAGTGGTCGGTGATGCCTGAGTGAGCCCAGTGAGGGGCAGACAACTACAAGGCTCTTCTCTGTGTTACTTGAGCCACAAGAGAGGTTCTGGTTCAGATTCTCGGTTGACCTGAACACAACAGGTATGCTTGTCTATGCCTGTGATCCTAGCTGGCTGAGGGTTGTACCCTTTGTCAAGGGTACTCATCATTCTGTCTACCTCTCTCTCTATTTTTTACTCTCTCTCTCTCATTCAGAAAAGAAATAAACTTTTTTGAAAATTGAGTTTTGAGTAGTGCAGATTTGCTAATTGGTGAATTGATACCCTATAAAATGTAGGTGTCAGGAGCACTTGGGCATTCACTAAGAATGGGAATAATCTTTGCAGAATCCTCTTCTAATATACATATTCCCCTTTTCATATTATAAACTTTTATTTTCCATTATGGAGTAGTTACAGATTTTCTCAATGACAGCAGACCCTAGTAGAAAACATCTGACACTAATCAACCTCTCCTTACTGCCCAAAGTTTGATATCAAAATAATTTTATCTATAGTGAGAACAAAGTCATAGGTTCCCAAAGACAGATGACGGTATTTTTTGCTCCCACCTGACTGGTTTCCTCACCAACAGCTTTAGACTTATTCAACTCACTCAGGTCAGCTTGCTCATTCTAGTCAATGCTACTCATTTATGTTCGATGATACATAAAACATTTGTCTTATGGTCTATTTTAGATATAGAATTTAATATAATGGTAAATCATTTATTCAATGATCTGTAATCTTACTGGTTTGTCTTATCTTTGAAACAGAAATACAGAGGAAATTCATCATTGTGGGAAATAAAATTACTTGAAATCAGAAGAAAATAAAGTTATAATCCTAATTCTCCTTCTTATTGATCATTTAAATTTGGGAATACCATCTAAATTTGGTGTGCCATCTAAGGGGTAGTACAAATGCCTACCCCAAAGGCTTTGTGTGTATACTAAGTGAGCCTGGTGATGGGTATAGTTACAGCTAGATATCAGTAAAATGTTTAATCTCTTACAGTTCTCAGAAATACACAAGTAGAGATAAAAATCAATTTCATTTATTTATATCATGGTACCTTAGGTATATGCATCACATGAATATGCTAAATTTAATAGCATATTTCTTCAACTGTCGCATTAAATTAAATTGGATGTAATCATGGAAAACATGGTAGCGGAGAAAAATCTTCCTAAATACCTCCTTAAAACCAACTGAATAGGACCAGCAGATGGCATAATAGTCACATTGCCGGACTCCCAGATCCCAAACCTAAACGCAAGTGCGTAAGTGCCCCAAATCCAGAGAGGATAATGGAGAAGGAATTACTGCATGGCCATCCCCATTGAGGGGTGATTTTCATTTTTTATCTGTCTCTGTCTCTCTAGAGAGTGCATGCACCCTATAGCAAAAGCCTCTCTTAAAAAAAAAAAAAATCAACTGAGTAAACAAAATAAAGAAATGAGGAAAGTTCCTACCATCACTTGTATGTATCAATCAGATTAGACTGCAGTAATAACACCCATATCTCAACCACAGACATTTAAGTTTCCATTCACATGAAATATTGGCAGCTGTTTGGTGTGACTCTGCTCCACATCATCTTACTTATCAAAACCACACCCATTTGAGGACACAAGAAGAAAACAGGAAACATATCATCCCATGTCTCCTAAAATATCTATTCAGAAATGACACTGAGAAAGTTACTAAATTAACATTGCTTTTTTTAAAAAAGAAGTTTTTATCTTAGAGTGCACTCATTCTCAGGAGAAAGAGACAGAGACAGAGATGGTAAGAGGGAAAGTGAAAAATCACCCCCAGAAGGGATAGCTATTTTGCAATCCCTTCTTCTCTACATTGTCCTACTGAGATTTTGGACACACATGCACACACGCCTGGTGTGATTTTGAAACCACCAAGTCTGGGACTCGAACCACAGTCAGTCATGTGGTAGTCCAACAACATAACCTCTATGCTATCTGCTGTCCCCTAATGTTACCTTTTATTTTCACTTTATTGTCCTAAACAAGTGAGATATTGAATAAGAAAAATGAATCCAACAACTGCCATGTGTCAAGAAAATGGGACTGTTCAAAGTTCTAGTGAATACATCAAGTGAATACTCTACCACATATACACATCCTCAAGATACAAACATTTTGTTTTCATGACTGTGGTGAGGATGGATGCAAATTGAAAGAATATTTTAGAATTCTTCAAATTGAATTTTTTTTTTCAGTTGAAATAACATCCTGAGATTCTAAGACACAGCTACTGCCATTTGAAAGAATAAGAAGCTATTATGGAAAATGAAGTGTAAAAATTTTAAAACTCATCACTTCTAATTTAAAATGGGAAAGTATAAGACAAAAAATAAATTTAGGAGCAATAGATAACAAGCAGCAAAATTGGAATTAAAGTGATGTTGATAATAAGCAACAAAAAATGAAACTTAAGAAATATTGGTAACAGGACCAGTGGGTAGTGTAGAGGTTAAGATGCCGGATTCCCACATGGTCAACCCAGTTTGAGGCCTTGACCTGGAGGTTTGGAAATAGTGCCAGATGCACGTGCGTGCATAACCAAAATCTCAGGCAGAGAATAGAGGAGAAGGGACTGTGGCATGGTCATCACCCCTGGGAGGGGGAGGGTGATTGCTCACTTTCCCATTACTCATGTGGGGTGTGGGGGTGTTTTCTCACTTTTCCTCTCACATAGAACATAAACACTCTATGGTAAAAACCTTAGGGGGAAAAACAAAAGAAATATTAATATAATTTCATGTTCAATATATTGATTTCTTTCCCCTAAGGTTCTTAATATGCAGAGAGAATGCACTAATTTGAATGAAGACCACTTTTTTTAAATTTTGTTTGTTTTGTTTTGTTGATGAAAGAAAGTACAACTTTATTGCAAAACACAAAGCAAGGAAAGTGTGCAGCTCATGCTGAAAATCCTAGGTCTCCCTGAGATGTTCCCTCATGTGTTTTTAAGGGCAAAATTAGGGGCAGAAGTCCCAGGCACATTATCAGTTCAGTGATTGATTCAAAAGGCTGTGATCATCTCATGGACATTCTTGATTAAGGAGGCCTTAGGTAATCAAATTTCTGTTCAGGTTTCTGGAGTCATTCACCCTGTGATCTTTGAGCTCACTGCCAAGCAGTTTCCATCCTACAAAACATAAGGAATACTTTTCTAATTTAGAGAACAAAGATCAGAAAACCATGGAAGAGCACAGGAGAGATACGTGCTCAGAGTCATTTCTCCTCTATCAACTGATAGTATGAGAACTTATCCCATCTCAACCAACAGGAAGTTGATTGGCTAAAGGGTTTTCTGGCAAAACAGAGAAAAATACAAAAACAAAATTCTCTTGGAAACAATTCCTGAACTCATTCCATTTTCTATCGTCTACTTTCATAACATAAATCTGAATCATTTAGTCCTTCACATTAAATTTACAATGAAAGAGTCTATCAGTACCTAGGAAAACAGAAAGAGGGACCCAAGACCTCAAACATACTTTGAGATAAATAACCAAGAGGTTTTCTTTTTCTTCTTTCTTTCCTCCTTCCTTCCTTCCTTCCTTTCTTCCTTCCTTCCTTCCTCTCTCTCTCTTTCTCTCTCTCTCTCTCTCTCTCTCTCTCTCTCTCTTTCTTTTTTCTTCTTTCCTTTTCTTCCTTTCCTTCTTTTTCTCATGCCTGAGCAGTGGGAGTTTGAGTAAATAAAACAAAAGCATGGTTCTCATGAAGAAAGCTCCCAACATAAAAGAAGAAAAAATAAATATAGAGTGTGAGAGACAAATAACAAGGAGTTAAAAGATTAACAGTATAAGTCAGAGTAATGGTTTACACAAGAACTGCTTTGTACGCACATCAGCGAAACATGATTTTGATCATTAATGAGATGGTACAATAAATGGATATGAACTTGAAGTGAGTTTAGGTTTAAAACATTATAAAAATAATACTAGTGAAGAATCAACAACTACTTACAGTTAAGTGCTGAATTTAAAGAGTTGAAAATTGAGTTAGAGACATGGAGATAGGATATCTTGTAAGGGATTCTAAAAACCATGTCAAAGTAAAAAACAACAGATGGAGAAGTTTATATGACCTATTTTTGTTTTGGCATATGCAAATTTGACCAAATATCTGAAGTAGATATAGTCTGGCATAGGTTTTGTGAATCTACAAATAGTACAATTGACTACTATACTAAGGAATATCTATCATCCACCATAACTGGCAAATGCTTTCCATGTGGGACTTTCACAGTAAGTTAACACTTGCCACATTCCGTTCAATTAAGAAGGAAAAACAGACCAATGAATGTAATCAAATAAATTCAGTAAAAGATTTTGTGATATTCTTCTAATATAAGTTTTTCCACATTGGAGGTATTAAAAGAGATCAAGATATTTATCTATAGTTAGAAAAATTAAAGTGTTACCTTTGCCTCATGAAAAACTTCCAATAACCTTTATGATTTATAAGTAAATCTAAAGTTTAGAATATACTGAATACTCTGAATTACTTTGAATTTACATAAGATTTGGGAATGCACACATATGTAAATGTAAATTTATTTTGAGAGAGTGGTTTATAACAGTAAGATCATTCAAAGGCATATGTAATTATAAATGTTATTAAAAATCATTCAGCAACTCTTTTTTTCCTATGTGCATTTTGCAATCAAGTATGTCTTGTTTTGTTTGAATTTTACTACAGAACATTTGTGCTTGTAGTGCAGGGGAGGTGGCAAGAAAACCCCCCACAGAGGGGATAGCACACTGCAACCCCTTTCCTTAACTCTCCTCTCAGAAGTCTGGGCATGTACACATGCGTGCCCAGAGTGTGCTTCAAGCTGCTGGGTCTGGGACTCAAACTACACACTTGGCCATGTAGGATCCAGTCATCCCAGCCACCACACCACTGGCTGGCCCCATTTGTTTGTTGTTTGTTTGTTTGTTTGTTTGAAGTTTATTTCTTTCATTGGAAGAGACAGAAAAAATAAACCTCCTCAACAGTCTTACAATGATCCTCTCCTCAGTTGTCCCAGCAGCTGGGATCACAAGAGTATGCACCTGGCATACATAGGTTGACTTGAGAACTGAACTCTCATCTTCCACATGGCTTTCAGCATTGCAGAGCAGAACTGTTCAACTTCAGTGGGGCCTATTCTTTTATTTGATTTCATTTTTATAAATCTTCTATTAACTTTCTGGGCATAAATTGCTATACCAGAAGTGAGAAGAGAATGTCAATATCTATAAAATGTTGAGGAAAACAGATTGTAAACCACGAATGCTAAGTCTACCCAATCTAAATATCTACCTGAGTTCCAGAAACATATATTTCACTATAGGTTTTCTTACTTGAATATCTAATAAGCATGGCAAGCTAAATATATCAATGCCAAAGTAATTATCTCTCTTTTTTCTTTTTTGTTAACAGAAATATTTGCTATAGGTAACATGTGCTTTCCAGAGACACATACACATAGAGAGAGAGAAAGTGAGAAATCATACCCTGGCGGGGGGGGGAATGGCCACACCACACAGCACTCTCTTCTCCTCCATTCTTCTCTTGGGATTTTGGGTACACATGCATATATGCCCAATCTGAGTTGTAAGCTGCTGGGTCTAAAACTCAAACTGCAGTTGCCTTTGGGGAAGTCCAGTATCTTAACCCCTACCACACCTGCTGGCCCCATAATTATGTTTTTAAAAAAAAATCTGTCCATGGAGTAAACAGCCACTCCATTCCTCAGTTGCTTGGAATTGTACCTGATTTCTCTTTTCCTCTCACTTTTATCTTTTCTACCTTCAAGACGGATTCAGGGTCCTACCACATTCTACTAATCCCCCCCCCCACCACCACCACATTAACAAGCTGCCATTATTTCTCTTCCAGATAAATGCAATGATCTTTTACTTGTTTTTTTTTCACCTTGATAATTCCTTGTACCCATTCTTTCTGTTCTGTATTTGAAACTCATAGTAATACCATAAATACAAGTCCTTCCTTTGCTCAAAGCTACCAAATTTCTTTTTATCTCATTCAAAGGAGACTACAAAGGACTTCTAAAGGCCTGTTAAACACCACAGAATCTGGCCCAGCTCCTGCTGCCTCTCAGTCATCACTGGTCATGATTTTCCTTTGTGCTCCTTATGCTCCTGCTCACTGGCCTCCTTCCAATGACATGGCACTCCAGACAACTCTCACCTGAGCAAGATCTCACCTGCTCTTCTTCTCTGGGATATTCCATTCACAAACACTGGTGATTCTCTCTCTCATCTCCTGCAGACATGTGTACATCTACTGTAATTAAGCCCGCCTCAACACTCCCTGGGCGGTTCAGTTGCCTTACTATCTCCATTGTGTTTGTCTATATCTGTCCACCTGAATTCTCTTTTGGATTTCTGTAATTGATAACTAAAAAGTAAATGGCAGGAGAAGAGATCACCACTTTTGTTTTCTGCTGTATTCTCAAAGCCTGATGTACAGTGGTGTTCAATTAAGTTTAGTTTGGTAACTAAGTGAGTACTTCAGGGCAAACAAAGCCAACATTTAGAAGTATACTACCTCAAAAGTATAAACTCTAGGGAACCAGCAGTTAGCATAATGACTATGTCGCCGGACTGCCACGTAGTCAACCGCAGTTCACATCCCGGACCCGGTGGCTTAAAACTCACACCGGGTGCGTGTGCGTGCGTGCCCAAGATCCCAAGAGGAGAATGGAGGAGAAGGGATTGCGGCGTGACCATCCCCCATGGGGGGTGATTTCTCGCTTTCTGTCTCTCTGTCTCTCTCTGTCTGTCTGGTGAGAGCACGCACTCTATAGCAAAAATACCTCTCCAAAAAAAAAGTATAAACTCTGTTCCTACCTTAAAAGAAGATAGGAACTCAGTTGACACTTGGCTTTCTCCTCTAGTTTAGTCCTAAAAGAAATTCTGAGCTAAAGAAAGATGAATAAGACTTATATAAATGGAAAATGAATTATGCTAAAACTAATAAATGATTTTTAAGAATGTGAAATACCACATATAAATTAAACATCATAAGAGACACATTGTAATAAAAATGTTAATAAAAGCTAAAATTATTCAAGTAAAATGCAAAAAGTTAGAAGGTGCTAAAGGGTAGCAAAGAAATAAGTGCTTCATAAATATTACATTGTGTATGGGGAGGTATAGAGGTTGAGTAATAAAATGTTCTTAAGCTTTTGATAATGAAGTCTAACATAGACATGGAATTATATTATGTTACTGTGATCATTTCAGCCAAAAAACTAAGCACTACAAAATCTGATGAACATTGCAGGATTTCAGATTCGTAGGCAGGAGTGGCATGTGCATGTACAGGAAGAGGTGGGGAGAGTTTAGAATATGAAGAAGAAGGGTTGAAGGAACAGAAGAAATGGGCCATGTCAACCAAAGTGAGATTTTAAAAAGGCAGATACAATAAGAAGTATAATGCAAAGTTACTATAAAATATGAAACTGGGAACAAAATAAACAGTTGTTATTTCAAGTATAAAAGAATTATATGATTTCCTTGAAGAGGCACACTGGATTACAAATAATGTAAGTATCTATAATTGGAAAAAAATGAGAAATTAAAGTTAAAAGAAAAGACATGGGGTCAGCAAATGACTGGTGGTGAAGGTGCTGAACTCCCACATGGCCCACTGTGGTTTGAGTCCCAAAGCTGGCAGCTAGCTTTCGTACTTTCTTTCTCTCGCTCTCTTTGTTCCTTTCCAGTAAAATTAAAAATAATAGTAATTAATAAAATAAATCATTCTAAAAGAAAAAGAAAAAAGGGATGAACAATTGACTAGAAGCCCATAATAAACTAAATATTATAGCCCCAAATCTTCAACTAAGAAAAGCAATATAGCACAAAGATATAAAACAGAATATATGAGAAGGCATAATAACTACATATTAGCAATACATGAAATAGTAGGAAAATTGCATAAATGTAAGGAAACTTTAACAAAAATGTTATGAGTAGGACCAAAAGGTGGTGCAGAGTTAACGCAGATGACTCATGTGGGAAATATCCTTGGCTCATGTCCAAGAACATTATGAACACTAGACACATGCGTCCATGATCCAGGCTGACTGAGACTGTGGAGGGGTCATGATATGAAGACCCTGTTTGAGGTCCCTGACTCTCTCTCTGTCTCTCTTTCATGGGAGAAATAAATAAACTTTTTAAACTGACATAGTAAATTTGAAAAATAATCTTTAAGAATGTTATTGATGGAAGAATTCCATCTATAAATTGTAATCTTTAAATTTTGAAATAAATATTTGTTTTTACTTTTTTACAGGATGTATTCTTTTTTTTTTCTTTTTTTGGAGAGGTGTTTGCTATAGACCACATGCACTCTCCAGAAAGACAGAGAGAGACAGAGAAACAGAAAGCAAGAAATCACCCCCAAGGGTGATGGCCACACCACAATCCATTCTCCTCCATTCTCCTCTTGGGATCTTGGGCATGCACACACACGCGCCCAACGTGAGTCTAAGCCACGGGTCCAGGACTCAAGCTGTGGTTGACAATATGGGAGTCCAGCGACATAGCCATTAAGCTAACTGCTGATCCCAGGATGTGTAATTGATTATAATTAAGTCAAACAAAATAAACATAAGAAAACCCAAAACTGGGACCAGCAGTTAGCATAATGGCTATGTCGCTGGATTCCCACGTAGTCGACCGCGGTTCGTGTCCCGGACCCAGTGGCTTAAAACTCACGCCAGGCTCATGTGCGTGAGGGCCCAAGATCCCAAGAGGAGAATGGAGGAGAAGGGATTGCGGCGTGACATCCCCCCTGGGGGGTGATTTCTTGCTTTCTCTCTCTCTGTCTCTCTCTGTCTGTCTGGCAAGCACACGTGCCCTATAGCAAAAATAACAAAAAACCTCTTCAAAAAAAAAGAAAAGAAAACCCAAAACTTAAAAACAAACAAATGAGGGAACCAGCAGTTAGCGTAATGGCTATGTCGCTGGATTCCCACGTAGTCGACCGCGGTTCGTGTCCCGGACCCAGTGGCTTAAAACTCACGCCGGGCACATGTGCTTGCGTGCCCAGGATCCCAAGAGGAGAATGGAGGAGAAGGGATTGCGGCGTGACCATCCCCCCTGGGGGGTGATTTCTCGCTTTCTGTCTCTATGTCTCTCTCTGTCTGTCTGGCGAGCGCACGCGCCCTACAGTGAAAATCTCTCCAAAAAAAAAAAAAAAAACAAATGAAATAAATGTTTGAAATTTAAGAAATAATTTTCTTTGAAAAAAATTGATATGTATTATTTGGAAGTGAAGAAAGGAGAACATTTTGTGGAAAAACATTTAGTACATACACTCAATATATGTATTAATAATATCAAAACTAATAATAAATTAGCATAAAAGCACAAATAAGTCCAAGGAGATTATAAAGAGAATTGAATAAAGATAAAAGTCAACTGAATTGAAAAGAAAATATTTGAAAGGATAAAAAAACAGTGTCTTTGAAATGCTGAATTAATAAATTCCTAACGAATCTTATTTAAGTAAATCTTAACTTACTTATTAAGAAATAAGTGAAAGAATAGTATGGATTAATAAAAGAATAACACATTTGGAAGTTATAAACATAATTTTGGCACGTCAGAGTCCTGGTGAAATGGGAACAAGCTCCAGCCATGTGTGTTGCCTCCTTTACTCAAACATGAACAAAGCCCAGGAAAGGAAAAGATAGAGATGGAGAGTAGCAGAAAAGGTTTGAGAAACCAATGGCCTTAAAGTAAAAACACAAGGCGAGGGAGATAAACTGGAGGGAACCCTGATTCCAGCATCTTTTATTTGCTTATTGAACCAAAGGGAACTTCATCCGCCCAGATGTTGCCAAGTGGTAGAGAAACTGCAGCACCTGCTTCAACAGGCAAAAGAAGTCTTCCTGTAGCAATGAAAACCCCTGAGCACGTTCACCTTCCCGTTTGTCGGTCAATATATCTGGAGTAAAGCCAGCCGGTGTGTAGTGGTTAAGGCACTGGACCAACAGCAGTTCAAATCCTGGACCAAATGGCTTGAAAATCACACGGAGCACATGTGGGTGAGTACCAGAAATCCCAAGAGGAGAAGGGAGGAAAAGGGTTTGCAACATGGCTATCCCATTTGCATGATGATTTCTCACTATTCCTATTTTTTTTTCCTCTGGAGCACACGCACTCTATGGCAAAAACCTAAATGCACACACACACATACACACACAAACACATACACACACCTAAACACCTACAGCTGGGGACTGCCACTTGGAAAAGGTTAGCACTAGTAGGGAGTAGGTGTCATGTTGCAGAAATAGCAAATTTCATGGGTCTACCTGGTCTGTCTCAATGAGGGCTCTCAGAAGAGGGATATGTCCCTTTATATTATTTGGTATGCATCGCTAGCCAATACAGCTGATAGTCTAGGGAAATGTAAGTTCACACAGACATTCATCTATTCATTTATAAAATAAAGTTAAGAAACCAAACAACTGCTATAAAACACAAAGAACTAATGTGACAGATACAGACTTTAATTAAACATAGTAGATATACTAAAATACATATAAAAATATTGGTAGGAGCCAGAAGGTGGCATATAGGCAAAATGAGATGCTCTGTGAGGCTGACCCACTTGAGAAGAATCTGGGTTTACTTCCAGAAGTGTCCCTTAGTGAGCCAGGTATGTGCAGGTCCATGAGCCAGAGCTGCCTGAGGCTAGGGGTGGATTTCAGCACTGGAAACCTCTTGGGGGTGCTCTCTCTCTCTCTTGCTCTGCATTTGTCTCTCTCACTCAAAAATTGTATTAGTGATATGAAGCAGGAAAACAAAACGATATGGAGAACAAAGCAGAAATACTGGGACAAATATATGAATAAATAACAGACCATTAATTGCATTAGATAGACTGGATAGAGCTGAGGACAAAATAAATGAGCATAAAGACTGGATCAAAGAATCTTTGAAGAAAACGTGAAGGAAGGTGGGTGGTATACAGATCATTTTTAATGCTAAGGTATAAAAGAGATATGAGAAGAAGTGGAGACATCTGTATAACTGGAATGGAGAAAAATGGATAAAATGTAAATAGAA